GAGAGAGAGAGAGAGAGAGAGAGAGAGAGAGAGAGAGAGAGAGAGAGAGAGAGAGAGAGAGAGAGAGCAATTGTCGTCACTGGGGATGGAAGTTTTGGGTCCTCACCATAAATAGGTCGATAGTCCTTGCAAGGAATTTTTGTGTCCACTGCTACCTGCACTAACCTGGCAAACAAAAAACCATGATTTGTCACAAATTGTCAGAACTGGCGAAAAGTGATAGACATTTTAACCAGGATGGTGACATTGGTGAGCAACTCTTCGAATCGTAGGGATGGATTAGAATTTGCAGTTTTTTAACGGGCTTGAATCATACTTGCGGCTCATCACGTGTGCGCAACTTGCGCATGTGTGGCACATAGCACATGTGATGCAGCACACCCCATTAAACAGAGATCGATAAAAAAAATTCAGGAGGGGCAGGGTGTGGTGGCCAGCACCCCTGCCTTCTGAGAATTCGAAGTGCAAAAGAAAACACAAGATCGGGCCCACGTGCAACCAAAAACTGCGTGTGTGTTTTGAATTTTCACCGCAACAGCGCCTATTCCACCCAGATGAACAGATCCAAAATCAAAGCATATTTAATCCTGCTACAGACATCGAAAGCCCTTCAGTTCAGACAATCCAACAATGAAACAGTTTCACCGAACTTTCACCTCAATAGCAAGCAACATGAAGTACTATAACCGCATGTGAAGTTGTCAAGCCCTTTCTTGAATGTGTTCACATTTGCTTTCTTTGGGGTACCCCTTTCATTTGTTCTTGCAGCTCCCCCCTTCACAGTGCCTGTCATGCACAAGGCTCGCCACATTGATTGTGGTTGAGTGCGAGCTGCCCACATCCCCGTGTGCAATAACGGCCCGCTTGCACATTATGAAAGGAGGCAGAGAAAAGGCGGAGGTATACTCCTGTTCATTTTTCTCAGATCTTCAACTAATATTTTGTCTGTTTTCGTAATGATGCTCATTCCTTTTTTTTTTTGCTCTGAGCTCTCAAACAAAAAAGAAAATAAAAAATGATGCTCATTCCTAACCCAGTTAATGCAAAAACAATGAGAAAAGGTGCAAGATGAGCTAAATACATGATACCTCCCATAGACACCACTCTAAATCTTCACTAAACTATGACCAGCCATCATATTGGCAAATAAACGTATTCCTAGACTTAGTGCGCAAAAACAATAAGAAATTAGTTCAAGAAAATTGCCCTCCGAACCGTGCGAAATAATTGCCCATTTCACGGCTCACTAACTCTACTTGCTTTGAGTTCTCTTACCTATTTGGCGGGGTTTCACTGGATCAAGTGACCAGTTTCCCCCATGGACTTCCAGGCAAACTCAGGGCACAAAGTGGTGGCGGCACTTCGCGCCTTGTGGGTTCGCGTCCCGCTAGCTGTACACTAGAAATGAAGAGCGATAGTACGGTTGAGGCCCTATTTTAATTTTTCTGGTACTATATGCATCTTTATTTATATCTTTAGTGAGAATGGTTTCTTACAAACAGTTCCAATGGGCGCTTTATTAATTATCTTTCTTATCCTTCATGTCTCCATATTAGATTTGTCAGCTATTTTGTCTTGAGAAAAGCATAAGGTCGCCTTGGGCTCTTTCAGTCTATGATATGATATAAAACAAAAGTGAGAAGTAGCGAAGGGCCCTGCTATATCCAAAATAATGCATTGGGTGGATGCCTTGGCATTGAGAAAGAAAAGACAATGACATGCGAAACGCCATGGGAAGAAGCTCTCTTCGATCCATGGATTTCCTATTGAGAAACCGCAATGAAGTTGACTTAGCGAACTGAAATAGCCGCTGAGTCTTTGACGGGGAGTTTCCATGTCGAATTTGGCTTTGTTGAGGGTCGAAGAGACAAATTTGTCAAGTTCGTGAAGAACAGCCTTACATAATAGAGGTGCGAGGCACAGGCTCGTAAGAGCTTGTGGAGTTCCGGGAATATGCACTTTGCCTATTACTAGTAATACACAAGAGGAGGGAGGAAGGAAATGGGAGGTGGAGTTCTGACAGGGTTCTAAATAGTGACTGCTGGGGCATGTGTGTGTGTGTGTGTGTGTGTGTGTGTGTGTGTGTGTGNTGTGTGTGTGTGTGTGTGTGTGTGTGTGTGTGTGTGTGTGCGTGTGTGTGTGTGTGTGTGTGTGTGTGTGTGTGTGTGTGTGTGTGTGTGTGTGTAAATGAATCCAATCTGTTTGCCTTGTCCGGTACAGCCATGATGAAGGTGCAGTGTTCTTTTGGAAACAGACAGCTCTGACAAGAGCTCTGTGGATTTCGCCTTTTTGTTTTTGCTTACTACTGGCAGAGCACAGAATGCACTGTCAGAGGGAGAGACCGAGGGGTAACGGCTACATCAGGGCACTTATCTCTCCCTCTGAATGAATAAAGATGCCTTTCAGGTCCGATTCCTGTAGCTCTCTTGTTTCTTTGTTTAGCTCTCTGGTTTCTTTGTTTTTCTTCTTCCGAGTACGTGCAAGGGCCCTAGGAATTATGTGCAGGGACCAACGGGTGTAGCTGAGTTGCTACAACCATAACTGTTGAAATACAGACTTGAGCTCGAATCCACTTTATATGTCGGTCCCTGCAGCGCCTGCGCATTATTCAACAACATCTTTCTGTATGATGATGAAGCCGTGCTCTCTCTCCCTAGAGGGGCCCTTCGAATTACCTGCAGGGGGCCGTTGAATGTGAAAGGGCCCCTTCTCTCTCTCTCTCTCTCTCTCTCTCTCTCTCTCTCTCTCTCTCTCTCTCTCTCTCTCTCTCTCCACCACCCCCGCAAACAAAGTGCATGCACGCTGCACACCACTTATCTGTGCACGGCGCACCACATCACACACCGCACTGGTGCACCACAAATACGGCTTGAATCCAAGCCTGCCAGGGCTCAATCAACACAGAGGACGTACTCGCAAATTGCACCGGCCTTTAAGTAGTGACACTTTTCCAAGTCAGTAAGCACATTTATAAATTCTTTCTTCTTCTCTCATCTGGTGGTCATCTCCACTGCATACCACTCTGATATCGGTCAGCACATCCATCTGATCTGTTCCCTCATCACCAATTCATTACATCTTAAAGATTGTTCCGGTATGGGTCTCGCTCCACTACTCTCGACTCTTCAAAGTTTAGGAGAGTCCTTGGAGAGCTGTCCGATTCTCCACAATCCACTTCCTCACCGTGGAAGGACTCCCCAAATCCGTTAGCACTCAGAGAGAAAAGAAGACATCTCCACAAGCACAAAAAGACAACTGGAGGTTCCCGTTTGTCTTTCCTGAAAGGATTTCAACTTCCTTACCTGCGGTCATTTGATCCTTGAGTGTTGACTTACCTGTGCCCTTACGTGTTGCCATACTCTGTCGTAAGTGTTGCCTGTGATGTTGTTGGAGTTTGAACACTGGACCTGATGTTAAACTTACCTGTGCCCTTAGCTGTTGCTATACCGTGTTGTAAGCGTTGACTGTGACTGTGAAGTCTTGAACCTGAGACCTGATCTTGTGTGTGTGTAAGGTCAATGCTCTGTACCATTCGTCAACAAGTGTGCCCCCAGCAAGTATCCATTGGTTTTCAAGGGCTACCGGGGCACTTCCCCCGGGAAAAACAAAATTCAGAATTCGTTTTCGGAGGGCAGTTAAAGTGGTGCTGGTTCGTGAAGCCAAGCAGTGCACTGTGTGGGGAAGAACTTCCGAAGAAGACAGCCATAGCCGAGGAGGAGAGCGATCGTGCTGCCATCTGCAACTGTTGAAGACTCGTCCTTTCTGTGCAGGGTTTGCGCTCATGGTCGGGCGCCCATAGAAGGATAATGTGTGGAACGTGTGTGCAGTGAGGGGGACGGTACTTCGACGGTCAGGAAGAGATCCTAAGCGAGAGCGAGAGAGGAGGAAACACACTGTTGGTAGTAGAGTTTGTATCCAAGGAAGGCTGTGATGAGCTCCGATCTTGCATCTTGTTCTAGCAGCGAGTGACAGGGTTGCAGAGTTGGAGGTTTCATGGAAGTTACACCTTGTACTTGTGTGGAGAAGTGTTGGCAGGTTATCTCGAATTTGCAAGTGTGTGAGACTGTGGAGCCGACCCGCCATAAATGTATCATCTGTATCTTCGTAAGGGGCGTGCGGCATCTTGTGACTGTAACTCTGAAATTGCATTAAGAACTGTGTGGCGATATGTGTTGAAGAAGGCAAACTTGAATTTCTTGTGTTTGGTGTGATTTTCATATCCGCAAGTGCCCATTCACTTGGTTTGATGCATGAGTGAGAGTCTCCTTGCAGCCCAGACTCCAGGCCTACTCTCCAAAAGCAGGCACTGATCGGTCTCTCTGCCGAGGACTCTCGAATACTGGCTGCCGCAGGCAGGGAACTTAGAGAGTGCCTTTCGAGGTCGTGTGCTGACAGCTCTCCAATAGTTTTACACGGCACGAATTGGAATAGTTAGTGGAGCGACGTTGAACTCGCCAAAATTGGAGAGTGGAGAGTAGTGGAGTGAGACCCTATGCGAGGTTGTTTCTGTTATTTCTTTCTTATACCAGACAGCCAGCTGCTGAGAAATTCCAGTGTGTCATTGGTTCAGGAAGACGGAATATCGTTTTGGAGATATACAGATGGTTCAAGAAGGTTCAATATTCTTTTCGAATCATCAGCATACAAAAAAATTTAACAAAGTCATTACATGCTTGTACACAAGCTTCACCAGATCCACTCATTCAACGACAGGGTTTGACACTCACCGCCCACTCTTGAAGAACCGCAGTCGATATATACCATCTGGTGAGAGTTCCTTTTGCATGAACACCTTGAGAACTAACGCAGGGAACTCCAAAAGTGTCGCAACGGCAGACAGGAACCACAGGTTCCCCAGCAGACCTTGTTCAATGTTTGCTGGATCCAACTTGGAGGAAAACAAGCGGGGTTGAGGAATGAATTTCCCTGCAGGGATGAGTTTTACCCCATGGTGCCAGGACACACGATGTGGCTGGTACTGTGGATCTGATATTGGACCATATGACTCGACACCCTTTGAAGGCACGACAGTTTCCACTGCCTGCCATGGGGCGGACTTCCACAGATCAGGAAGGTCTTCTGGAGGTATTCCCAGAGACCTAGCAAAAATCTCCTCCGTTGTGCTTCCCTGAGGGGTGGTACTCTCCATATCATCCAAGTCTGGCTGTCTCCAGGCAGCAGGGGATTGCCCAACCTCTGGTACTACGACCATAGAACTTTCAGAGACCAAGGGAATTGGATGCTCCTCATGTAAATCATCATCTTCAAGTTCTTCTCTCTGGGATGGTGCTTCCAGTTCAGGAGTGATCTCGGGGGAAAGAACAGGTAGTGGCATTGGCAGTTGCCTTGCTCTCAAAGCACCCCGTGCAGATGTTTCGGGCCTGTCCTCTTCAGGAATTCTTGTTGGGACTGCATCAGCCTTCTTCGACACTGGCACATGTTTCAGAGCAGCACGTGCGGATGTCTCTGGTCTGTCCTCTACGGGAGTCCTTGGAGCAACCACATCAATCTGCGGTGGAGCTGGCCCTTGTCTCACATCAGCAGACTCCAATGTCCCCAGTCCGTCTTCTACAGGAAGCTTTTCAGCAACAGTGCTCAAGGGTAGTTCTCTCACTCCAACAGTGGCCTGCTTGGACATGACAACATCTGCAGCACCCTCACTTTCCAGAGAAGGCCCTTCTGGTTCATCAACTGGATCAGTCCTCCGTAAGTCTTGCTGAGGCTCTGGTGTAGGTACTCCATGATGCTCAGTAAAGGCACTATATGTGGAACCAGCCATCATAATTGCATCTTCTACCTCATCATCTGGCACCGGATGCACCAAAGATGGGTAAACAGCTAGTGGCGTGGGCTCCTCTTCCTTAATCTCTTGTCCAAACTCGTCAAACACGCGTGCTCGTGGAGGGACCATAACTGAATTTGCAACAGGATACCTTACCACTTTGACAGAAACTTGCTGTGGGGGCTCAACCGTCGACTCTGCGACTGCCGCACGCGCAGCCCCTGCAACAGTGACTCCTGATGAATAAAGTACAGGCATTGCAACCTCTAACGGGATTTCGGTAGGTGTCTCTTCTTGTCCCCGTTGTTCCAATACACTCAGTGGAGGGATGTCTGACACAGGGTCTGATGGAAAAACTGCCTCTCGCGCCTCATCTTGGTATGGTTTCGTTGGTGGTGCAGAGGCAAGCTTTGCACGCACTGCAGCCTCAGAATGAATTGTCAGGACAAACCGCCTGGGCAAGATGGTGTTGTCCACATCCGGAAACTTGCAAACCTCCCCATTTCTGCTTGTAAACGAGAAAGCCTTCACCATGATATGGTAAAGTCCCGGCCCAAGAATGGCATCTACCTCACATGTAGTGTCCTGGGATTGTCTGGTGGCCAAGTAGCGGTTCTGTTTGTCCACAATCCAGATGCCCACCTTAAAAGGCTCCGGAGCGCCCAGCCTGAACCCAACAAACCGAATGACAACACATTGATGAAACACGACACAATTTCGGTTACGAACTGAGAAGCCAAACCTGAAAAACAAGGCACTGACATTATGACATAGTTATTGACCCACCACCATCCAATCCAATTGACGATCAGACATCTTTTTGACCCTTTCTTATGTCACTTGGCTGTCCAGCCTGAAAGGATGGAATCCTTGTCAAAGTTCTGATGTGTGAGAGGTAGCCAGGGTATGCTCGGATAGCTTCAGCTGAGAAGAGATAGAGCTGAAGTTCTAAAGTGCAACTCGGACCGAAGTCCTCCCCATATTCAGAGTATCATGCTGAGAACACATTCCTGACAGAGGTTGAGTGTTGATGAAGGACTGGGTGGGTAAGACCACCCCACCGCGAAGTAGAACACACTTCAATACTGAGATGGCAACATTGAGCGAGACTGCAGCAAGGAAGAACATGAGATACAGTATGGTAATTGAACCTGCACTTTGTTTATGTCCTTTCATCTGTTTTGCTGAGATTATCCAAGTCTGAGTCTTTTTTGCTGTGTTTTCCGAGTCTGTATGTCATGCTGATGATGTATGTAGGCCTGCGTGCTTGAGAGTCATTCCACTTCTGGTGGGGTAACTCTTGGGCAAAGTGAGATGGAGCTCTTTTGGTGAAGAGGAGCAGCTCTTGAAATGAGAGGAGCAGGATGGTGTGGAAGAAGAAGTCCATGGCTATGGAGGAGTGAGGAGTCAGAGAGGGAGTTGCTTGGCTATGGAGGGAGGTAGTAGATGGCTGCATTGGGTCTGGGCTAGGTGAGGGAGGTGTAGTAGTAGTGAAGGAGGAGTTGGAACCAAACAAGGAGACTTACCTTTCACTATGGTGGGCATCTTCATCTTCCTGGATGGCACTGTATCAAGGAGGCCCTGGTTATGGTGACGGTTGGATATGGACTTCATTCGGAGGGAGGCTATGGCGGTAGCAGATGCGAGAGGTGTGGTAGTTGTTGGTTAGTCATGTCAACATCCATGCTAGGCATGGACGAACAGCTATGGTTGCCTTAACAAGAGGAGAGGAGAGTAGAGTGAGAGGAGGTCATAGGAGAGCTCTTTCTTTGCTGGCACTTAGGGAGATCACTTGGATTGATTCTTGTTTATTCATTCATTGATTTTTTTCCCTAATAATAGCTGACAAGAGGATGAGGCCATTACATGAGGATTGATGACGATGGCAACAAGAGGAGGGGGATGACACTGGTTCAATCTTGTTCTTCTTCATTATTTTCTCCATTCCTCCTCTCCTGGTCTGAACCCATCTCTTCTCGAGTCGCAATACATGACTTTTGAGTTTGCTCTATGATTTGGGCAGGATCATAGCATAATAATCGAAGGGGGCATGCCCCATTGGTTCCATGTCGGTGCTCAGAAAACCTAAACTACGTCGAATCGGCCATGTTTATATTTCCATAGCACGGTGAGAGCCCCAGTGGGGCCTGACCCTAAATGGACCAGAAAGGCATGGGACAAAACCTAACAAGACACCAATTAGGAACAAACTTAACACTGAAGTCTCTATACAAAGAAAGCCCCACTTCTCACCTTCAACAATCAATACAACAACGTAGTGCCCCTACTATGATGTGTCTGCCTGTACTACTTTATGCTCTTACATATTCTAGCCTACTACCCTCTCATGTGTCTTTCACCAGATACTTCTTTAGAGTCTGCTCACACATGTGCCCCTTGCCAACACCAGTACGCACTGCCAGTTCCTCCAACAGATGGACACCCAGCTTCCCGCTCAGCGTTGCCCCAGGTATAGCAGGCGCTGGCCTCACAGCCACCGCAACTGCTTCCTCTCACCTGGGCGCTATCTGGCCGCTATGTGCTGCTCCAGCTCTTCTGCATGCTGTCAATGCCCTAATGTGCTGCTCTGCTCGGCCTCCTCTCTTTTGCCCTGTCCGGAGACCGAGGTGTGGGTCCCCGTAGGCAGTCCCTGCTGCCTACCGGCCTAAGTCCAGGTCCCAGCCCAGATAACTTACTAGAGGCAGGGCCTACCGGCTTAGTAGGCGACCTTTGCCCAGATATGTCAGGCACAGGCTTCTCTTAGGGGTGGCCTGCTATTTTCCTGCCACAGCCGTGACTTAGGGACAGACTCATTTTAAATGGGCGGCCTCTCTGAGGCTCACCGAGGCCTCCAAGCCTCACATTCCCACCCCCTTAGGTTCGAAAATCCTCCGAGAACCCTTCATTCTTGCTGTTGCTTCCCTTTAAGAAGCCCCCTCATATTGCAGAACCAGTGAGGTGCAGAATTAATCCGTTCCTCTGTTATGAACCACCAATCTTCACTGGGGTTTAGATTACCTCCAAATGCCAGTCTGTGAGGTGCATCTGTGGTTATGGTGGTCTTCCCCTGCAAGGTGGCTTCTGGAAACAAATTACCTTGTGCTCCAGGATGTGGTTGATGTCAACATAACCGTCCACTGTTGGGGGTGACAAGAACTGCCAAGAAGGAAACTGATCGCTTTGTGAAAACAGCAAGGGTTTGGATGTGTGAAACACAGGGTAAGTGCCAAGATTGGGGGGCACATCAATCACGTACGATGGGCCATCAGGATCATCCCCTTCATTGTCTAGGACAGTCCATGGTCCAAAATACCGAGGTGTTAACTTCCGTGATATGTCCTGTTCCGGTGTAAACTCAGATGACTTTACCCACGCTCCATCACCCACCTGAAACGTTGGCACCCCGTCTATGCTGATTTTCTGATTGAATCACAGCCTTTTGAACTTTCTGTAGCTGTTCTTCTTATCTTTTCCAACACTATTCTGACTATACCCCACCCATACTTTGAGGGGCTGTCTCGTGTTCAGAGTCTGGAAACAGGAAATCCAATGGAATCCTGGGTTTCCATCCTAAATGCAATTGATTAGGTGAGCAACTAGTTGCTGAGTGTATAACATTGTCATACAGCCTAGCTTTCTTAGACAGTGTGATGTTCCAATCAAAATGACAAGGAGTGATGTAATATCAGAGAAGCTGCCGCACTTGTCTGGTCATTTGTTCGGCTTGGCTGTTGGCCTCAAGGTGGTTACCTGAGGTCATTGTCAGTTCTGAGCCCAACTTGTTATCTAGGTCCTGCCACTGTTCACTGCTGACCCGCAGATCTCTATCACTTACAGTCTTACCACAGTGGTTAGCGGATTCAGTTATTGCTGACACTGTCTTTTACCACAAAATCTGCTTGTTTCCTATCTTGCTGGTGACCAAGGTGTCCATGAAGTCCATGCACAGACACTCCCCAGGTCCTTCAGAATAGGGACAGGCTTGATTAAGCCTAAAGGGTGCTTGTGCGCGTGGTTCATCTCTTCACAAACCTGGCAACTTGCAACATACATTGCACATTCCTCTTTACACCACACTGTCAGAAACGCTGCAAGAGATTAGCATCAGTCTTTCTCAACCCGAAGTTTCCCCTGGCGTTGTGGCACTCTCCGAGGAATAGACTCCCTAGGGGTTCTTTATTGGGAACACAGTCTCTTCACCCTATACTTACTCAAGAACAGCACACCCTCAACCATCCTGTACTCCTCACACACATTTCTATCCTATGCATCAAGTCGTTTCATGATTTCATTGAGCATACCGTCTGCTTGGTAGGATTCTTCCACCCTTTAGTGTACACACCCTTCTATCCAAAGCGCACACACTAGTGCACCTAGGAAGTCTGCTCTCTTAGTAGATAAACCATCAGCCACCATACTGTACTGACCTTTCACCTGCTTCAGCATGAAGAGGTGCACTCTGAGAACATCTGAGAGTGTTGGTTGCGTTTTGATCCACGGGAGTGTCTCATCATTCTGAGAGCATCTGACAGTGTTGGTTGCGTCTTGATCCACAGGAGTGTCTCATGGCCCGACCTCACTTCAAAATGTCTGCTTGAAGGGAATGCTTCCAGTGTTTCAACACCATACAGTGCACACACAACTCCCTTATGTAGATGGAATTTGCAAGCTTTTGAGATGGTTTGGACCTCAATCCGCTTGCTTTTGAGATGGTATGGACCTCAATCCGCTTGCGCCTGTACCATATTGACGCATAAGTGGCAACGATAAATGGCTTTTCAGGGTCCGCAATCTTTAGTACAGGATGACTCATGAGAGAAGACTTCAGTTGCTTGAAAGCCCACTCACATTCCTTACTCCAATCCCACAGGGTATCTTATCGAGTTACATCGAGGGGCTAGCTAAACTACTGTAGTTTTTTATGAACAATTTACAACCCACCCATCCCAGGAGAGATTCGACCTCAGTTACAGACCTAGATCGCCACCAGTCCTCAACAGCAGCGACCTCTGCATTCTCAAGCCGCACACCTTCCTCGGAGATTTTGTGACCCAAGTATAAGACTACTACAACTCTGCAGTTTTCTCTATTGATCTTATACTTGTGCTTTCTCAGGAGATCAAAACTCTCTCTAGATGCTTGACATGGTCCACCAAGGTCTTACTAAAGATACATATATCATTGAGACAGACAACAGTAAACTTATCTAAGTTATCAAGGGAAACTTTGCTTACTCCATGTTGGAATAGATTAGGCACATTACAGAGCCCAAACGGCGTCAGCACAAACTGATACAGCCCATATCTTGTCATAAATGCAGTTGTGTTGAATCTGTTGGTCCTTCGTTCTTATCTGTATCTCATGGTACCCTGATTCAGATCTATCTCGTTGAAGTACCTGTGTCCCTAAACCCTATCCAAGAGTGAACTGATGCGAGGTAGGGGCTCTGCATTATCCATGGTGATGACAGTAAGGGCCCCTATAGTCAATCCATATCCTCAAGGAATCTCCCTTCTTGGGCATGAATAGAGCAAAAGACATGTAAGGTGAAGTACCGGGCCTAATCCACCTGTAGTCAGTTAGTTCCTTTAGGCGCTTATGAAGCTCATGTAACGCTACTGGCTACATCTTACACATCCTGCTTTTGGGGTTCTACTCTCTGTGACAATCTCCATCACATGGGCCATCTCCCTATCCATAACTCCGGTTGGCTCCTACTCCAAATCTGGATACTTAGCTACAGCTCTTGCTATCTTTGGGAGCATCTCTATGGCCTCCCCTTTTGGAGACAAACACTAAAAACATACCCTCTTCTTGGTTCTACCTGTAGTAATTGTAACACATACTAGCACACAAGCATCCTTAGGAAACTTCCATCTTATGAGGTGAGTACCTCTTTAGACAGACTGTCTTCCAATCAGGAGTCTTATACAGCATAGCCTTGATGTTCTACTCAAACTAAGGTTTGGCCACGTACATTTCTACCATCCTATCAAATGGAAATTTGTTGCTCAATACAAAAAGAACTTGTGCCTAGTATTGCCTTCCCTATGAGAGAAGGTACATCACTGCTTGTACGTAGTCTTCTCTGACAATTCGCTACTTGTTGGCTGATTTAGATACTACAGGTCCACTTAGTGGCTGTAGCTGGTCCACTAGGCGCAACCTCTCCATGCAAGCATGACTGGTATAACTGCTCGGCGATCTGATATCGGCTAAGGCCCATGCTTTACAGCCTCAAACGCTCCCTTCGGACCTGCTGCCATGCATACCCAAACTCTCCCTTTGGACCTGATGCCATGCGTACCCAAAAGTCTATAAGATTGCATATTTCTCCTTCCACCTCTTCTAAGGACAGTCATGTCTCCGGGCGTGACTGTAACTGTGGGGCGACCTCAAGGCCAGTAGCCATCGCCATCACTCTCTGAGAGGTTGAGGGAGACTTTAAGCCATACTCCTACCTCTACACACACTGCAGAAGGTATCCCTTGTTCCAGTTATGGGGCAGTCCCTTCTTCACTCCTACGCGTACTACACTTGGTTTGCCTCTACACCCAAGGGCTTTCTGCACAGGATTGTAAAGTTGTTACGTTGAGTAGTGGTCTCATCTACTAATAGACGTCTGATATTTTCAGGGAGGGCCTTCAAATAGCTAGTCAGTATCTCATACCGAACTCCTGTCACCTTGATAGGCTTCTCTACTTTCGGTAATGGCCAGGCCGTCCTTGTATCTACGAGTCGCTAACATTCTGAGCTCGTCTGTTGCTTTTGTGTTTGCAAACGGTCATGAAAGTGATCTTCTACCAGGCTCATGGACTGACCTCGCATGACATGTCTGTGGTAATATCACGCCCATACCCATCCCCTGCTATCTTGCCATCCAACCAGTTTGGCGCTTATCAGAAATTTGGATGCAACTATAACTTCTCTATCTTTCAGTGTGTCATTCATCCTAACATACAAGAAGACTGATCTCGACCAAGTATCTGGATTCTCAGGCTTTTTATCTCATATGCATTCTACTGGTTGGACCATTGACATCTTGATGAAAGGACAAGGGTTGTAACCGCTCTAGAGCTGCTGAGTCGTGCTGACAGTGGTGGTGGCCATATAACGACCGACACCGGAATTGAAGAAGGCTGGACTGGGACCTGGGGTGAAATCCTACGTACAGTACTGGCGGGAGGGCACATGCCATATAAAGGAACAAGTGGTGGGGACAACACCGTTGGACTGCAGGCCTGCAGGAATCGGTTTGACCGTTGTGCTTGTTGCTATCCGCATTTGCAACAACTGGTCTATCTTACTAACAGCAAACCCGTTTGTGAACGTAAGGCCAGGATATTACCGGCCATCTCTTTGCTGTCTTTACCATGCGTGCGTGCCTCATGTAAGATCCGTAACTTATCCCTCCCTTCCTGTACTTCCTGTAGGCATGACTTCCGTACTACATAGATACTCTTCTCCCTTCACATTCGCTAGATTATCTTCTAACTTCTGTCTACGAGCAATAGCATCTAGTTCACTTATCAACAACATTCTGTGGAGCTTCCTGGCTCACTAATGAGCCAGAACTCTGGTTTGCTGAGCCGCACTTGTCTGACTTAAAACGACAAACTACAATGTGAAACTCACAGTTGCCATTTCTGATCTTTGCTCTCTGGCTTCTCTCCAAAGTTCTCTCTCCCCTCTGTCTGTAAGCCTACAGGAGATTTAAGGCTGATTTGCAGTCCTTGTTGCTATACGGTCATCAAGCTCAACCCGGGCACTGCAGTCAAATAGTCAAACATTTGAGTCAATGTTGGCCACAGATCACGACCAATCCAAACGCTCAGTTCAATTTTATGCGTGTGTGTGTGTGTGTGTGTGTGTGTGTGTGTGTGAGAGAGAGAGAGAGAGAGAGAGAGAGAGAGAGAGAGAGAGAGAGAGAGAGAGAGAGAGAGAGAGAGAGAGAGAGAGAGGCTTACCTGGTCTTACCCGGTAATGTTGTCAACAGTGAAGGGAGAGCGCTTTGCTTCTGAAGGCTGGCACAGCTTTGACCGGTGTATTTTTTGTGGAGCCACGTACTGGCAAGGTGGTTGTGAGAGAGAGACCAGCTTTATCACCACTAAAGAGAATGACTGACAATTGTGGAAGTGGCGAGACCAGAGAGGCGAATTGCAGAGGATGGAGGGCAAAGGCGAGAAAGTTATCATATCAATTATTATTTGAGATTATCCTCCTATTGTATTGAAACTGGCCCTCTTGTTATCTCTTTGTGACTGTCATTCGCTGAGCATCGTGAGTTTCATGCCTGGTGTTGATGGTGTGAGCTTCCCACATTTGGCTTCATTACAAGATCTTCAACGCACTGCACTTGACCACTCCCACAGAAAATATGCTCGGATGTTTCTGGAAGGTAAAGACTTGGTGAACTACTCAAATGACAAAGAAATTCTTTCATTCATGAAGACTTCAGTGACCGGGTCATAAGAGAGGGAGAGGGGAAAAGAAAGGAAAAGAGGGAGACGTACATTTGTGGGCTCTCCTGATGAAGTCCAGCAAAGAGCCGAGTGCGCTCTGTCACCTTCAGCTTAAAAATCCTTGTCGGTTGAGCACTGTTCCCTGCGGCAGACCAGTCATCTGCAACGAACGTGCAGGGCATGAGAATCACCTTCCATGGGCCAACATCATCTGGCCGCAATGAGCAGATCACCACCCCTGCAAATCTCTGCCAGAAGACAGTCACACAGAAGAATGGCAAGCAAGCCCGAGAATTAGCTTCATTATATAACAAACCAGGGGAGAAGAGCACAACAAACGAGGGGCTGTGACAAACTGTTTCGACGGAGTTTCACTGACTCATCAGGAGGCTGAACCATATATATTATATATCGCCAAACAGAGCTGCCCAGTAAACCGTGGGCAGAGGGGGAGAAGAGGACAACAAACGAGGTGCTGTCGAAAACTGTTTCATCGGACTTTAAATATACATATATGATATATATCGTCACAAACAGATATATATATTAATATATATATAATATATATCGTCACAAACAGAACTGCCCGGTAAACCGTAGGCAGAGAGAGAGAAGAGGACAACAAACGAGGGGCTGTGGGCAGTTCTATTTGACGATATATATAGGCAGAGAGGGAGAAGAGGACAACAAACGAGGGGCTGTGACAAACTGTTTCGTCAGAGTTTCACCGACTCATCAGGAGTATATATATTTTGTCTAGGGTTTAAGCAGATGCACAAAAGAATATTTTGTCTAGGGTTTAAGCAGATGCACAAAAGAAAAATGCACAAGGATCCGAGAGGGTCTTGCAATCAGACTCATTTTCATTCACACTTCACATGCATGCAAACAGGTTGCGCGGCAAACTGGCGTCAGGTGCCCACTCAGAACTCAAAGATATAGTAACCAAAAACGCAGCTCAGATACAAGTTCACTGCAAATGGCTATGGCGGCACATCGCCTGTACAACTCTCTGTTCGTAACTTACTCAACTCTGCTGTTCGCACACAGGATCACCCTGGATACCCCACACGCAACACACTGTACACTCGCACACTCACACCCGCTACTCTCTCCTATCAGCTACGGCAGCTATGGCCGCTGCTACCCTATCGCTATGGCTAAGCTTCCTTCTCGCCCACTTCGTCTTCGGGCTCACTGCAGACCACCTCGCACAAGTCGCTGTGGCAGCACTTCCGGATGGCTTATGCAGGACTGAATGAATGGCTGGGCGCTGCCTCTTGATTTATACTTCTGTAACTCGATGGTCTGCCTCTTTCCATCGGCCCATGGTGCACACAGTCCCTCATGGTACTTGCTGGACTGGACTGGGACTGACTGGACCAGTACCGCTGACTGTATGGGTTTGCACTGCCAACTCAATGCAGTCGCACTGCCGACGTAACGCAGTTGGGCTCACCACTTGCCCACTTGTCTCTGACTAAAAATGGGACAGCTTCAAAAGGCCACTTCCGGAACTTCCGGAAGTCTGTGGACTTGGCCTTTCGGGTACTGTAGCAGCTACGACCTTGACCTTTCAGAATACCTATAGCTACGACCTCTACAGAGCTGTGACCCCTACTCGATAGACCTACAGATCGAATCCCTACATCTACACAGTCCTACGACAGACAAACAACAACTAACAAAACACAGGTCACAGGTTCAAACACTCAGGGGTCAACTCAATACTGTACATGGGTAAGGTAAGGTCAGGAGATCGAAACCTGGGATCTGCACTGCCTCTGCAAGGTGAAAACCGTTTCACTCTCGCCGGCCTAAATTCGAGGTCCTCCGAGAATAATTCAGTCCAAGGCAGGACCTTTACCCTTCTTTTCTCGCTCGTAGTATCTTACTACGTCGGGAGCTGATTCTAGCAGTTCAGTCCTAGTAAACCAGCGATCGTCCTCGGGTTCCTGGTAAGCAAATCGAACCTTATACTGTTTCTGCGGACGACCTCTACCTCCTGTTCTGAATACGTCTTCACCTACAATGCCGTCAATGTCGTACCTTCCATCCATGTCCGGAGGGATCATGGGTCTTCTAGATGGAAACTGTTGGCTTGTGATACATGGCAACAACTTTGACGCATGAAACACGGGGTAGGTATGGAGGTGTGCTGGGATCTCTACTGTGTAGGATGGTCCATCCTCTCCGCCCTTGACTTCTAGGACTGGCCACGGTCCTCTGTATGCTGGCAATAGCTTTTGTGAGATGTTCTCCTCAGGAGCAAATTCTTTAGACTTGACCCAGACTAAGTCGCCTACTTGAAACTGCGACGGGCGACGGTGCTTGTTGGCTTGCTCTATCATCCTATGCTGGGCCTTCCTGAGGTTCTCTACGATGGTAGCTAACTCTTTCTCGTGCTGTAATGCAAACTCCCTAGTACCCGGCGGTAGCCTCTGAATCTGGTCCCGGTTAAGCCCTTCAAATGGTCTACGTGGTGTGAAAGACTTATGCAACTCGTTAGGAGTGCGACAAGTAGCTAAATGCACGCTATTGTTGTATGCACTGGCTACCTTTGGGAGCATCTCATCCCAGTTAACTTGATCAGGTCTAATGTACATCCTCAGAACTTGCTGCAGGACCTTATTCATTTGTTCAGTCTGACCGTTTGTCTCTGGATGACGGAGTCTGACCGTTTCTCTGGATGACGGCCAGATGACATCAGCAACTTGGAGCCATAGACTCTCATCAACTCCTGCCAGTTCTGACTAGTGAGCCGGGTGTCTCTATCACTAACTATAGACAGTGGAATCCCGTGTTCACTGACCCAATGATCAAAGAACTTCTGAATAACTAATTCCGTGCGTGCCTCTAAGGGCAAAGGAACAAAAACAGCATACTTACTGAATCTATCAACTATTACCATGACTTGGCTCTTGCCATGCCTACTCTTGACATGGGTATCCATAAAGTGAATGGACACTGAATCTCCTGGCTGATCAGGAATAGGCAAGGGTCTGAGAAGACCTAGAGGGGCACGCGTAGAGGTCTTATTTCTCTGGCAGACCTTACAACTGCGAACATACTCTATGCAGTCGGCCTTCATCCCAGGCCATATGTACGCGCGCATGAGGTTAGCTAGAGTCTCTTGCCAACCAAAATGTCCCCCAGTATCGTGGCATTCCCCTAGGATCAAACTACGGATATCCTCACTGTTTGGAACGCACAATCGAACTACGTTAGTCTTCTCGAATAGCAGCCCATCAGTAGTGCGGTAGTCTGGTTCGGATTCTGGGGCTTCCTTTACTCTCTTGAGGAGGTCACCATAGATAGGGCCCTGCGCATACGCCTCTCTAACTTTCTGTCGCAGGTCTCTCCCTATATCCAGATAATGAACTATCGCTCCAAAGTAGTCAGCTCTCCTACTCAGAGCGTCCGCAACTACATTATACTTCCCTTTGACTTGCTTAAGCTCAAAAGTCATATTGGTCTAGTTCTGTGGCCCACCTAGTAAGCTTAGTTGTCATCTTGGCCTGAGTCTTCAACCACCTTAATGTCTCGTGGTCTAAGTAGACTTTGAAGTGCCTCCCAAGCAAGTAGTGCTCTCAATGTTCTAACGCTTGCCTGAGAGCGTAGAGTTCCCTCTCGTAGGTAGATATTGCTACCTTCTCTGAAGGCATGCTAGCAGACATAAACTCTCAGGTCTAGATCCGTTATCATCGTCTTGCTGTAATACAACACCTATACCATACTGGCTCGCATCAGTCGTGACGACAAAAGGACGGATTGGCTACCTTCAGGACTGCGTACTCTATCAACACCTGCTTCAACTTCTTCATGGCAGAGGTGCAGTCCTTGTCCCACTTCCAATCTGTTTCTTTCTTCAGCAACCTGCGAAGGGGAGCAGCGATGGTGGAGAAGTTCCTTACAAACTTCCTGTAATAGTTAGCTAGGCCTAAGAACGACCGCAACTTTGTCAGCGTGCGGGGTGTAGGCCAATCTCCAATCGCTGCGATCTTACTATCTTCTGGTTTGATGCCGTCTCCGTCTAAGACATGGCCTAAATACAGAACTTGGGTCTTTGCCCATTCACACTTATTTGCATTGATCTTGAGGTTGGCCTCTCTCAGCTTCTCTGAGACCTGCCTCAGATGACCCTCATGCTTCTGGAGGGTCCTACTAAACACTAGAATATCGTCTAAGTAGACTACTACAAACCTGTTTAACCACGACCTAAACAAATCATTCATACAACGCTGAAAAGTAGCTGGTGCGTTGGTTAGTACAAAGGGCATAACTACGAACTCGTAGTGCCTATATCTAGTCTGGAACGCTGTCTTATATTGATCATCAGGATGGACCTCTATCTGATGATATCCGGACTTCAAGTCTATCTTCGAAAAATACTTAAACCCTGCACCCGATCTAAGAGATCATCTATTCGGGGCAGTGGCTCCGCATTCTTCACTGTGATAGCGTTGAGACCCCTATAGTCAATGCACATTCTAAGCTCTCCCTCCTTCTTTGGGACAAATAGAACAGGTGCTCCAAATGGAGACGAACTAGGCCTAATCTAACCCCTTTCTAAGAGTTCATCTAACTGCTTGCGCAACTCCTCCAACTCTCGTGGGGACATCCTATACACTGCTCCTTTAGAAGTCCTACTGCCAGGCTCTATCTCAATGTGATGCTGGATGGGCCGCGGGGCTACCCCTGTAGGCGGCTTAGCTAAATCTGTGTACTCTCCCAGCAGATTGGCAATAGCGGGATCTATAGGCTTTTCCTCTTTAAGGCCAAGTAACTGGTCTAACATAGGCTACAAAAACCTATTCTTCTAGCTGCTCCCTCACTAGCCTCGCAAATGCAGGAGCGGTAAGGCCGCAATGTGCCAAAGAGTTACCTGCTCCTCACACATGAAACAGACGGGCAGTCTTGACCCCGCCTGATGGACTAGGGAGCCTACACACGTGCTCTCTCAAATGGAGTGTGGGCCCGGCTGCCTCTCCCCGGTCCATTCCTAGGACTATGTCAAAAGGAAGGCTGTCCTCTACGAGGAGAATCGGGGAATGGAAAACTTTCTCCACCTTCCCATCTTTCTCTAGGCGAAAGTACGCATGGACTCCCTCTACATAATCCTCTACTCGCATCGTGCGATTGTCTGTGAGGATAATCACTATGGGGTCTACTAATTTATGGACCTTCAATCCCAACTTTAACTTTTGCAGCGCCTTTCTACTGATATAATTGCGCATGGCCTCACTATCTACTAAGGCCCCTACTCTACCTCTGAAAATCTCTACATCTACTAGAACTAGCTGTCCCCTACTCTCCTTTTTCATCTTGGCCCAGACGGACATTCTCTCCTTCAGCTCATCAGCCACAACTGTGAGGGAGGTGCCTAAAGAGACTCTGACACAAGCAGTCTATGGACAACTATCTAGGCACCAACCTGCAACCTCTGTCGTAGGCACATGTGGTGTGGGAGTTTCCTGTCGGCTCGCGCTCGTTTCCCCACATGGCCTTATGGTAGAGGCAGTTGCTACCCCTACCGGCGGCTGCCTTTTGATCCTTGGGCAGCCCATCGGGCCTCTCTATACTTTGGACAAAATTTGATGATGTGGCCAGGGTCACCGCAATTTATGCACTGCCCCTGGTCCACACGCTGTTGCCAGACGCGCTGGTCCAGGCCGTAAGTGCACGTAAGTTTCAATGTTTGTCGCCAATTGTCAAAGTTGTCCTCCTTTTTTCCGTTGTAGGAGTCGGGGAACTTTACCTTCACGGGCTCTCTATAAGTGCACGTACGTTTTAATGTTTGTCGGGGAACTTTCTGTAAGTGCACGTACGTTTTAATGTTTGTCGCCAATTGTCAAAGTTCTCCTCCTTCTTTCCGCTGTAGGAGTCGGGGAACTTTACCTTCACGGGCTCTCTACGGGGACGCGCTTTTTCCTCCTTCGGTGCGGCCAACATGGTGCCCTCTATTGCGCCAATGCAATAACGCTCCGTGTTCTCTAAACGGGCCTTCACCTTGGAGCCAACCTGCATAACTAACTCACGTGCAAAGTCTCTAAACCCCAAGCGTATAGAGCGTAAGGCTATATCCTGGCTTCTACCAATCTGATATTGCTCTTCCTGGACCTGTGCCAGGCGCTCTATGCTCCTCGCCATGATCTCCATCTTCCCCAGAAGGTCCACCTGCAACGCCATCTGGTCTCTTTGCTTCTTTTTATCTCTTCCAATTCCTTCGCCGCCTGACACGCCGCCTCCATTCTCTTCTTCCTCTCCCTCATCAGCCGGAACTTCCACTCCATCCTCTTCTCATCTTCTATAGCTTACCAATGAGTGGGTCTTCTTCTGCATCCCACTCTTTCATGGCCGCCTTTTGTTCTTCCCTGGGCACATACATCAACGCTTCTTCCTCTTCTCTCAGGGTTAAGTTGGCCACCCATTCCGTAATTTTCTTCTCCAATTAATCCTCCTCCACCCCACTGGATTCTGCTCTTTCTCTTGTCCTTCGCCTTTCCAGTGGCGGTTCTTGTACCTCTTCCTCCTCTTCTACCACTTTGAGCTTCTCTTCTTCTTTCTTTAACCTCTTTTTCTCTGGCCATCTCCTCCTCAATCTTCTTCAACTTTGCCGCCTGTTCTTCTATCAAGGCCTTCTTCTTGGCCTCCTTCTCTCTTCTCTCTTTCAGGATGGCGGCGGCTTTCGCATCCTGCTCTGCTGTATAAGGGGAGGTGCTCGTTCCTGTACGCGTGTCTACCACGGTGACAGACGCGCAACCAAATAACGGTTCCACTCCTCACCACTTAGACTCTCCCCCTAACTTAAGACCGACTCGATCTAAGGACCACATGATCCGTATAGAACCCTGTCAGCTATGGTCTCTAGCCTAAACTCTAAACTACAACCGTCACTACAGAACCGGTTGCTGATCAGGAGGCATTTAAGGAGATCCCCCGTAACTCACAGACAGGACGACGCGATCAGCAGGTTCTCTCAAGACTTAGACGGCCCGTTGTGCAGCCCACAGCTCGGATTTTGGGCCTACAGTGCCACACCGAGAAGCCCGTCGGTCAGTACCGTTCCTTGGGAGGGTTTGTGTCCTTCGGGACAGTCGAGTTGTCAGACACATTCTTTAGCCCTACTCAGCCCGTGTGGATTTGGTCAACTAGGCCCTATCCTTCATACACGGAGTCCTATCACCTAGACAGAAGAGACAAAATGCAGAAAGAAGAGACAGACAGACTCAGACTCCGTAAGTACCATAGGGTGAGTGCACATCCATAGGGCGAGGGGATAAGCTAAGGGCTTGGCAAGATTATACCAACTCCAGCTTGGTCAAAAACGTGGTCGACGGCTCCGGTCAACGCTTGGTCAACGCGGCCACACCCCGGTCAACGCTCCGGTCAACCCTCTGGTCACCTCTAGGTCGGCTATGGCTGCCGGCACCTTCTTCCTCGCCAACCTCCCTTCTCTTCCTGCTCCACCTTTCTCGCCGTTTTTTTTTTTTTTTTTTTKTTCACCCTTGGCTATGTCTGTCTTCACCTTCGTTGTCCCTCCTTCCTTCTTCTTCTCCGATCTCTCCTCCGTTCTCTACTTCACCTTCCTCTCTCCTCCGTGTCCCGAGCTCCGCGGCTATGGCCGCTACTTCATCTTGGACCGCACAACCAATCTTGTATCACTCAACTCTCTCTCTCCGTGGTGATGTCTTCAGCGCAGGTGCGTAGCGAACCAATCTTGTATCGCTCAGTTCTCTCT